CAGGGGTCGGCAAGTAATTTTAGGTGCGGTCCGGATACTTTTGAAAATTTTTAACGAGGTCCAGAAAAAAAATTCATATTTCTTAGTAATTTTTTTATTTTAATTTGCAGTCAAAGTTAATCTGCTCAAATTAGTCACACAATAATTGTAAAATACTAGAAAAAATGATGAGGATGGCACTCAAACGTAAAAAAACATTTTTTAAATAATTTATTTGAGTAATTTATACTTTAAAAAAATTTTTGGCGGTCCAGTATTTTACCTTCCGCGGTCCGGACCTGGACCGCGGTCCGCCAGTTGCCGACCCTTGGCCTAGTCTATAATGCATTAGTAGAGAAAAGTATTTATTCTGTATTATAAATTAAAAAATTAATTATCCGCCTCGATGCATGCATCAGCTCTTGTGTGGATAGCAGGGGTAGCTTGTTGAAGTGCACGGTGATTTTCCCTTACGAGTGCTGCACAGTTGAAAATCCGATTGAGTAGTGCCTCTCTTGTATTCACTTTTGTTAAATAAACTAATGATTTAAACCATCCCCAAAGCCAGTAATCAAGGGGATTTAAATCTGGTGACGTTGATGGCCAATTTCGGTAACGGAACATCGTCTAGTAGATCCGTCAAATTATTGTCTAAAAATTCTAAATATCTAGCTCCAGTAAAACGATTATCTAGCTCAACTGGGTCAAGTAATTGATTATTAAACATACCACACCACACTTTAACGCTGAATCGATGCTCAAAGTTACTTTCCACCGTAGCATGCAGATTTTCATCTGACCAACAATGTTTATTGTTACAATTACTTACTCCATCACGAGTGAACTGAGCCTCATCAGCGAACATGATGTATTTGTAAAGTGTACGGTTTCCCTTTATCCAATTGCAAAAATGCAATCACAAATCATTATCCTGCAGATACTGAACGCGCTTAATACGGAACGGTTTTAAACCATTTTTGCGAATGGTTTCTCATTTGGAGACGGATTGCAATGCGTCTTGTACTTACACCCGGCTACGCTCTACCATAGGTATTTAGAATTTCCTCTTCCACTGCTACACAAGGACCAACAGGCCTCTCACATGTAATTCTCACACTGGGAAACATTCCAATGTCACATGCATTGTTGAAAACTGTCTGGAATACATTTCTGCCTGGTACTGTTCTGTTGGAAAAGCGACGTTAATATTCAGCAACTGCATGATTAGCACTACCATTGCAATATCCATAAATAAAAACAAGATCAGCATATTCTCGATGACTAAATGTGGCAGGCATTGCGAAATTACATGCGTAGAATACCTACTAAATGAAGTCACATGTAAAAATAAATGTGACAGTTATAAACAAGCAGCATTTAAATTACAATTACAATCGTCAGAATAAATATGATAATTACGAATCACTAATGTGAGTTTTGTTTAGATACATGGCCTACCCAAAATAAAACATCAAATAACAAATTTCGCAATAAAGAGGTTTTTATTGCTATCTCAGTAACCCAGTGGCGGCTCGTCAGGTGACGCACCGCTTCACCTAAAATTTCCGTTTGGTTGTGCAATTTAAAATTATTTTTAATTTTATATAAATTTTATAATTTAAATATAATTCTATATTGAAAATGTATTGTGTTTGTTTGTTTAATACGCAGAAATAAATAGTTGCACGGTGAACGTATTCTAAAAAACATTGCCTTCATTGAGCGCGAACATCAACCTCGTACATACCATATAACGTATAGTATACGCAAGTGACGGAGATGAAAATCAGTCTGCATTCTGCTTCTCTTCGTAGCGTTGTTTACGGCAGTTGTCAAGGCAACGAGACGGCCAATTTGGGATTAAACTACGGGGTGGGGGAAGGACTGACGCAGAAATTGAAGCACCATCGCCCATCGCCTCCCTTTAACAGTTTATATAATACACGTCACCCAGTGCATGATTATAACGGTTCTTAGTTAATATTTGTTTTGTATAATAATTGTAGAAATGTTTCCTATATATGATCCAGTATGTATTTTATTGGAAATGCCATTTTCCAGATGGAAAATCGAGGACAAAAAGGATTTTTTAAATTGCGAGAGACCTGTGCCTTATTCTGTTGATATGGAAAAAAGGGGAAGTCAAAAGACAACGTGTACATTCAAAAGTTTCGGAATGAAGTCGTTGTGTGTTGTATGGAAGTGTTCATTTAAAAAAACTTATCTGTATGCCATGTTTAATTGTGTGTGTAAAGTCGGGCGTGGGCAATTAGAAGGGATTTAACAATTTTGGGAACGTCACGCAAGGCTGTCGTAACCACAAAGCTTCTTTGGAACATACATGTACGGTGAACGTTAATGTTCACAGAAGTCCACAAGCCAAAGTAATATTTCTATTTTTTATAAAATCTAAATGAAAATCCTTCTCACGAATGTCAATTTTTCGGTAATATTGCAAATGCAACTAAACATTTCCAGATTCATTTAAAACCGTTTGACCTTGAATATTTCAAAATTTTTGCCAGCACTTGCGGTGCTTTTTTTTTCTTTTTAGTCAATCAATTAATATGCTTCACCTATTCTCAATGTCACGAGTCACCACTGCAGTAATCATTGATATTTGACCATATATATGTTAGGCTTTTCTGTTAACTTTTCCCCTCTGAACACCTCTTCGGAATTTTGGGGGTTCCTTCCCAATCACCCTGTATAAAAAGCAATGCTGTAGCATGACACTCCCAACAATTAATCACCGAACAGCTACTGATTATGTGCCAAACCTGGAATAGGAAATTCAACCTTATGGTTTTCGGCTCAAATAGACTTTTAGTTGAACATCTACAAATAAATAGGTATCTATATAAAATAATAGAGATCAGTGATAGGTTTTTTAAACACATTATTAGAGAATTAGGTGATATATTTTTTCTTAAGTAGGTCATCAACGGTAAATTTGAAAAAAAAGCTTAACTTGAAAAAATATTGCAAATTAATTAAAAATAACTGTAAGGTTATGGAGGTTTTTAGGTTAGGTTAAATGTGATAGCAATTTATGTGATAATTTTACAAGTAGAATCGCCACTGAATTTTTTTTCTCATAGAATCCAGACACCCTGTATTTTTAGCCTTTACCTCTATATATTGTATAAAAATTGGCAAATTCATTTTTATCAATTATAACTATTACAAGTACTAAAATTAAATTTTACTTACCAAGAGACAATTTGTGGAAACAAAGGTGTAAACACTAAGTATGTTAAGGCAAACCAAAACGTTGCAAATAATATTCCCACAATTGCTCCCCATAGTACTTGCCAAATAGTATGGTACTCTAAATATATTCTACTTACGCTAACTAAAAGTGCCATTAATAATGAGGAGGAAATTATTAAAAATTTTGATAAATTTTCTATTATTGTGTTATTATTCATGTGATGTAATCTAAAACAATTTAAAAGAATTAAAACAGTATAAAAACAGATTTTCTCAAAATCACTTACTTTATAAAAACAAAATAAATTATATAGGTGGCAAAAAACCAAACAAATTGAGCATGTGAAGATGGCATACCATACTCAACAAAAATATTTTCACGTCTTAGTGGTCTTGTCTCACAAATAGTATGTTTCAAGCAATAATTAAGAGCCTCTGAGCATAATGTTCCCAAGAAAAAAGTAATCTAAAAATAATATATGTAACAAAATTCATTTATTCACATTGAAATTTACTCAACTGTATGTAAATCGCGTCTAAAAAGAATTAGTGCTATGAAACCAGATCCAATTCCAAAAGGAGCCAGACTAATTAGGGCTAAAAACTTTCCTATTATATCTCCTATAAAATAAAAGTGTTTTAAATATAATAAACATTGATAGTATATGGACTTTAGAAAACAAGCTAAATAGTCAGATTAATTAATAAATAAAATTATCATTATGGCATCATACCTTTTGGATATTCTACTAATGTTAAAGTAAGTGGAACCCATTCTGTTCTGTCATTATTTTTAACAGAATCTGGAAAATAATTTTCATCAACATTAAACGTGGCCATTTTTCATTTTATGTCGTTTAACTGTCAAGTTGTCACACTGTCAAAACAAAACGCAGCAACAACTCGAGCGTTTTAAATTTTTATAGTAGGCAGTAGGCACAACGATTTCAGTCAGTAGGTATGAAATCTTTGGATTCCACATAATCTGTAGGCATTTTAAAGCCCATAGGCATAGAATCACAGATGAATCCATGGAATGAGGAGAGGGAGAAGGGAGAAAGAACAGTGGCGTTGAACAAATACATACGTTGGCCGTACTTAACAGACGGGTGAAGAC